GCCATTTGTGTTGGTCTCATATGGAAAAGACCATTTGTTTTGCTACTTAGAATTCAAATCAAACTTAGGTTATTTCTAAATTGTTTTATTTACCTCCATACTTTTCTCCTTTCCTTCCTTTTCAACTTCTTCCATTTACATTTCTGTTTATTGATGTAGGGTCTCTCTCTCTCTCTCTCTCTCTCTCTCTCTCTCTCTCTCTCTCTCTCTCTCTCTCTCTGTGTGTGTGTTATAAATATATGGCCTATAGTTTACTAAACACATTTTTTGATAAAGTTCTAAATTGGCTACAGAGAAGTATATTTAAGTAAGAAATCATACCTACAATTCTGATCTCTAAATGTACAACTGGAAACCGGAAGCTATTTTCTCATGTAAAATTTCCTTCATATGCATCTAGTAAGTAAAACATTAATTGTGAGGGTGGTTATATGCTTAAAATTGATAATGTATGCAAAAGACCTTCTATGTGCTCAAATGTTTTTGATTTGTTCTATAGTCTCATGCTGGATAATGATATTCATCATTTTCACTGAATCTATATAATGAATTTTTAAAGTGTAACAGAAACAGAATTTCCAACCATTATCTTACAAATGATGTTGTAACTTTGCAAACTTACATTACCTATAGAGTTATGAGTATTTTTTAAATAGTTTATTTAAATTCATTTTTATGTTCATTGGTGTGAAGGTGTCAGATCCCCTGGAACTGGAGTTACAGACAGTTGTGAGCTGCCATGTTGGTGCTGGGAATTAAGCTCAGGTCCTCTCCCCTGGAAGAACAGCCAGTGTTCTTATCCACTGAGACATCTCTCTAGCCCCTCATGAATATTTTCAAGTGAATGTTTGTTGTAATTATTAAGAAGAAGTAATAAAATTAGACTATTTTACTTGGGTATTTTCTACCCAAAATATGTAATAATTTAAGCCTTTTATAAAAGCATATATATTATTGTTAATGTGTTCAGTTGTCTTTATATAACTTACACAAACCATTTAACAAGTATTAATTTAAATGCTTCCTTCAAATACCATCTTAGTTTTGGAAACCAATGCATTCTAATATCTCATGTTCATATAGAACATAATGGAGAAATCTTAGCACCAATTATCAAAATACAATATCAGCTCTAAAAATAAAGGACAGATCATTCAATAGAGGGAGGGGAATTTGCATAGTAATGAACAGGAAATGTCATTTGGGGAATGGATACAACTATAGAAATGTGAATTGTTCTCCTATTCTGTACAATAGTGTATTAAGTTCTGAGCTAGGCATTTGATTGTTTTTACTAGGAAAAATAGGACAGAGCCAACCAACCATTCTGTTCATTGAGAAATTTCATAGTATTAGTTTTAATCAGCAGCAAGTTACTAGTATTTACATAATACATGTCAATAGTCTTACTGAAAATTATTGAATATTAAAACTACCATGTATTGATATTACCATTCTTTGTATTTAATAAATATTGGTCACTTAGTTTGAATAATCTTACTAGATTTCATGTAAATAACATAGGTGAGGAAAACTAAAAGTCATAATTTGTTCTAACCTCTCTAAGGTCACACTACCAGTAAATGACATAATTTTAAGATGCATAAAACATGAGATTCCTCAAGCTTTCTTCAGTGCATGTAACTGCAGTTATTCAGTTGGTTCATGAAATTTACCTTAAATGTCAAAGCACTGGGCCTTTTCATTTGAATAATTTTACCAAATGCTAAACTAGATTTCAAGTTTAAACATGCTTGAGCTTATTTTTTGGTTATGTTATGATGGAATAATATTTCCTGGACTTTATTAGACTTTTGTAACATTCAGAATTCAAGCGTCATAACTTGGGCCATAAAATATAGTTCAGCATATTGTAATTTATATGATTTACTGGCCATAATTAAACCCATAAATATTGGGCATTTGTTCTTAACAGTAATTCTCTGTGATAGTGGAGTGTTATCACTACTGACACATGTCATGTAGGCACTAGGGTAACATAATCCAGGAGTTCTTATGATGTGACCAATACTTTCTCATCTCTCCTATCAGCTAACTTTGATTTTGAATACTGCCCCATTAATTATGCAAAATTAAGCAACACAAAACAGCTAGTACTAAACTCCTGATTCTTATTTGGCATATCCAGACAATCTGAATCAGAAGTGTTACATACAAATATATATTTTCCATTAGTATACACCTGACTGATACAAACATATTCACTCTAGAATTATTGTGTTATTATGAGCAATTCCAAATTACAATTAAGGAAGCCATCTTTTTGTCTCATCTACTCTCTTCTCAGTAAATACCTATAAATGATGCTTATATAATTTCCCAGATAAGTATAGTAAATGAAGCTGGCAAGACACCAGTTACGTTGTTTCCCTCCATTTAATGAAACTCAATGTGTTGGAAATAATGTCATTTTTATGTACAGAGTTATATATTTTATATTAAATCATATTCAGAGCTCAAAGTTGATTTGTGAATGTCAAATATGCTTACCCTTCTCAGAAAACTAACATTCCTACAGAATGTTTAGCTACTGTGGAGAAAAAATAAATTCTGTGATTCCATGGCTAGAAGCAGAAAATACTGGAGTATGTGCAATATCATATATAAATTGTTCTGAAAATCTTAACACACTTCTTTTTCTTCTTCCTCCCCATCTCCTTCTGTTTTTCAAGACAGGATTTCTCTTTCTATATGCTGTCTTGAATATTCGAGAACTAGACCATTCTAATCTCAAACCCACATAGGTCAACCTGTTGACAATGAGCTTCCTTGAGATATTTTTTTTCTTTCCACTACACCTTACCTCTAAATATAAACTACTTCGAGCCACATGGTACTCAGGCCTACTGAACCATCCCTAAGTTTCCTGAGTAAGCCTTGAGGAGTTCCAGAATGGGTAGTAAGAAGGAAGTGCAACAATCATGCTAAGCAAACTTAACACACTTCATTGCATGGTAGTGTGTGGTGGCCTGCTATATGAAATGTGTAATGATGGGTGTACTGTGGAGGCAATCACTCCAATTCTCCAGACAGTCTCATTGTTTCCTATTAGCTTATGGTATCATCACAGTGTCAGCTTATAAAACGAATTCAGCTGGGGAGTCACCAGTAACTAGTTTTGCCTTAAGTTTCGCTCATGTCTTTCAAAAGCTTTAGATAAGCACAGGGACTGAGTAGGTGATGTGGTGTCTGTCTACCTCTTTTGCTTCTCATTGTCTGTTTCATCCTCCAGTCCTCAGTTCCTCAGTTGCTCCTCCCAGATGCTGGACAGCTTAGACTCCGATCTTCCCACCCCCAGACATGCAGTAAATACCTCAGCCTCACTCTAAGGCTTCCTTAGAATTGAGCTTTCATGGTGTCCCTTCACATGAAAGGGTATTTTTTTTTTGATCATCATTGGGCCATTATTTTCCCCATTGTGTAGTGAACAAAAGTAATAGTAGTCCAGTAACTACTGAATGTCATTCCCTAGATTATAGTGCAAACTCCTGAACAATTGCTTACATCCCTGTGGTGGTGGTTGAGTCAGAAGGCCTCCCATACACTGTAGACTCATAGATTTGAATACTTAGTCAAAAGCAAGTGGCACTATTAGAAAGATTAGATGTAGCCTTGTTGGAGGAAATATGCCATCCGAGATGGGTTTTGAGGTCTTAAAAATCAATGATAGTCCCAGGTGCTCTCTCCCCCGAGATCAAGATTCAGCTCTCAACTACTTCTCTAGCACCTTGCCCCGCCATGCCTGTCACCTTGCTCCCTGTCATAATGGAATAAGCCTTTGAAGCTGTAAGAAAACCCCAAATTAAATGATCTTATAAGAATTGCCTTGGTCATAGTGTCTCTTTGTAGCAATAGGACAAAGACTAAGAAATCCCTAATAGTGATTTTAAAAATGTGCTGAATTTAGTTTTCTGGAAGCCACAAAGTTGGGTAGATGTTAAGATGATGTGCCAGGGAACCAAGAGGGAAAACTCAGTGGAATGGATATGATCTTAATATATCACATGGATAAAATTTGCAAATAACAAAAAATTAGAATTTTTAAATTTAAAAGAAGTATCATGAGAAAAAATTGAGAATTCCAGGTATTAGGCTGTAAAGACATCCAAACCCAAATGTCTTGAATGGAAAGTTATATGCATTTGAAACAGGGAATGACCAATATTAGGGGCAAAGGGTTTTTTCCCTATACAGACATACTTCCTATAGTAACTACAACAGGAAGGCATATGATAGCCGATTTAAACCAATTTGGTGGGGCATTTAAAAACTGAATGATATAGAAATCAATACTTCCTTTGCTTGCAATTAAATGTTTAATAATTACTGATGTGATTTGTAATGTTTGGTGTGATTTTTGGAATCTTTGGAGTTTTCTTTTTTCTTCTTCATCCTATTGGACACGAGTACAGCTGTGATATTTAAATACAAATGAGGACATTTTAAATAATTTTATTACTTAATAGGTTATAGTCCTGCGAGTAAAAAAAATCAATATCCAAGAAAGAGAACATGAAACTTTTCTGATCAGCCAACAAATACTTAGCGTTTCAAGTTAAGAAGCCTAGCTGACAAGGTAGAATTTTGAAGTCGTTGTTCTCAAATTCTTCATCTATCATGACTCTGGACAATGCTGTCAGCAGAACTTACCCAACTAGGGGAACACGTGTTTTTACTTCTTAAAACTGTTGGAACCAAAGTTGCTATTTGGAAGATGTATTCTCCATAGGTAATTGTTTACAGATTATCAGAAACTATTCACACGGGCACATATTTGTACATCATTTTTTTTTTTTTTACTCTCCTCTTTAAAGACAAACTGGGAAACAAAATTAGATAATTCCACCCCCGCAAAAGCCACCATCACGTCTTTAATCCACTCTGCAAAACTATGTTTCTATTTCCTCGGAACGTATGCAAGGAGTATATGCATGAACAAGGCTCCAAATTCTGAGCCAGGTGCGGTTGTTTGCAGTTACCTTGGATCTTAACTAGATGTGCAAGTTGACTTCTGACCATGGGGAAATCCTCTCCATGCATGGACTATGGATTGCTGAGGCCATGGCAGATAACCAGTTCCACAGAAGCAACTTCCTGTTCTTCTGAGGAAGATCCATAGCACTGCGGAGCAAGGAACATAGATGAGCAATGCCACACCAGACTGCAAACTGGGTCAGCGAAACACAGCCCTCAAAAGTGAATTCTGAAGGTGGGAAATCTACAGCTGCAGAGAAATATTGTTCAAAGTGCCCTCATTTACATGAGCACTGGTAAATATTCAGTGGCTACCATGCACGCTTCTTAAGCACACAACAATGAAACAAAACAAAACAAAACAAAAACAAAAAAACCTGTTTATTGCAAGCTCATAAGCTACTGTGTAAATTTGTGTTTTTTGATACTGCAAAAAATTGGAACTACCAAGTCTCAGTTGTCTGAAAATGGAGATAGCAAATGAAAATATTCAAACTGTAGTAATAAAATATTTGGCCTTTAATCGTTTCCAGTAAAATATATCTGAAATCTTCCCATCCCCCGCCCATAGTCATACACAAACACACCAATGTTTAAATATTTTATAGTGGCCAACGAAGGTGTTTACATTGATGTTTATTAATGGAACTCACTTTTGAATTTGTATTTAATAAGTTGTTAATCCGTATTAGCCTCAAATCAGTTCTGTTTCGTTTCTCAGTTCCCTTCCCGATGACTAATGGCTAATGTCCGGTACCATAAACAGATCTGCCTCTGGCACATTGGGAATCATTTGTTCTTGGCTTAAATAATCATAGTTTATAAAGTTCTCTCTCTCTTCTTCGTCCCCTACTAGGACTGACAAAGGCATTCCCAGAGGCAAGAATTTGTCTTCCTCTCTCTGCTCTCCCTCCTGCAGCCCCGCCTCTTCCAACATCATCTCTTCCTCTTGGTTCTCTTCTCCTTCTTCCCCATTGTCAGCCTCCTCGCCTTCTTCCTCATCCACATCTTCATCCTCTGTCTCTCTGTCTTCCTGGTCCTCCTCTTCGCTCTCCTCCTTTTCATCACAAACCTCGTCACACTCATCATCATCATTTTTCTCCTCCTCCTCTCCCCGCTGTGGGGTGGGAGACTGGATTTGCTGCACTGGCGCAGGACTTAAGGTTAGAGAGGGATCCTGCATGAAGCCATACAGATCTTCCGGCAACTGCGAGTCTTCCTCGACGCCTCTGTGAGGCGCCTCATTGGTAGTGGAGCCTCCCGGGGTGGTGCTGCTCGCCTGGGCTTGCTGTGCTCTCAAGGCTGCCTGCTGGCGCTCCAGCTTCTCTTGCTGCCTCATATCTTCATAGACCTGGTTCATAATGAACTGGGTGGTGTTCCTGGGCGCTCTCATCCCAGGTGCCCGCCACCCGTAAAGGTTGACTGGCCGCAGCAGCTTGCTCAGGTCTATAGGTGGGTTCCTCGGGAAGGGGCGACGAGGGTGGCGGCGCAGGCCACGGCCCCTGCGGCCCCAGCGTTTCTTTCTGCCCTGGGGTCTTTCCCAACAGGGGTTCCAGGGCCCATTCCAGCAGGAGCAGCAGCAAAGGCAGAGTGGGAGCAGACCATAGGCCCGGATCATCTGTGCTGGGCACAAGGGGCTCTGGAATGCCATCAGGGGTGGGCGCCAGGGCCCTCCGCAGCGCCCCCAGTTGGAGTACACAGCCCAATAGGGCCCTCTAGGTGGTTGGAACCAAGGGCCAGGGCTGTGCTGTTGCTTGGGTTGTTTCCTGGTAGCCTCATACTCAGCTTTGGGGCCATCGCGGTACCGCCGCTTGGACATCTGAGAGCCCCTCTGCCTTCGATGGTAGGAGGACCAGGTGCGCAATGGGATGGAGGATGCCCAGCCGCCGCCGCCCAGATTGAGGGGATCCTCCCTTTCATTGACCGTCTGGGTCATGGTTCAGGGATCTCCACGAGGTCTTAGTGGTGGCGTCCAGATCTGATGCCCAATCAGAAGAGCCTCCTCAGTTGGAGTCCTTAGGACCACGTGCTTGTGCCTGTGCCCTCGTCTTCTGCCTTCGCAAGGATCCCCCTCTTTCTTCTCCACTTGCTAGCTCTTCTTTCAGAATCACTGTCTTTCGCACCTGGGTTGTCTTGCCCAGGTGGTTTGGGTGGGGTAAGGATGGTGGGGGAGGAAGGTGTTGGTGGGCGATGAGCTGTGAGAGCCACTCCCGGATCCCACACACACCTGCCTCAGCTGAGGCGCGGGCTGGGGACGGGAGAGGCAGGGGTGGCTTGTTACCTTGCTCCTCCCTCTCAACCCAGGTGCTTCACCGTCGCCGTCCTGGCCGGACTGAATGGGCCTGGGCAGTGGCAGCCTTTAAATACCAGCTGGGACCCCTCCCCCCACCCCGCGTGCCCACCGCGTCCTTGGTTGCCCAGGACGACAGCCAATTGGGGTGGACATGGTGCTTTATGTGAGGAGAAGGGATTCCTGCCAGAACTAGATATCCCATGAACGTTCTCAAAGGGTCTTATGACGCAGGATTTGAGGCAGGCAGAGAGGTAAAGGTGGGCACACCCTGGCAACGCTTGAGAGAGGGGAATATTTGAAATTTCTATCTTAAGTCTGTTGAGGGATGTTGGAATATGGCCTTTCCCCTTCACAGAGTGGAAACTGGGAACCATATTTCTTCTCTATAGCTCTGTGGGCAGCTGCGGTCAAGGAAATCGGGCCACCATTTTGTCTCGACTCTTCTAAGCTTAGAAGTTAGGTTCATGGTCCATGAAACATTATCACAAAATATTTACTGTGTGTATGCATCCAAGCATGTAATGTCCCTTCCTCTTCAAGAGATGGTTAGTAGGTGTCACAGATTTTGGAACTGAGGTGACTTTACCCAAGGTCGTGGGGACGAATGAACTTTACAGCTAGCCTTGAAACGAACCTGTGTGACCACAGAGATAAGTTTATAACATCACTGTAATAAAAACTCATTTGTAGTAGACTCCTGGTGAGAAGTAATGGAATTCAAACGAGAAAGCACCCTATTAATTCTAGTATTCTACAGATGGATCTGTTGATTAAGCATTATTGTAGAGAATGACATGAACTCGATATTGAGAACAGGATTATTCCGGTTCGTGTCATAGTAAGAAATGGTGTTTGGCTCAGGTAAATTACTATGAGTCAGTTTCAACTTGCCTTGAAAGCTCTTAGGAAACCTGGTTCTGTTTTACATAGGACATATTCCCTAGGGTTTGAAGGAAGACTGAAAAACAAACAAACAAACAAACAAACCCCAATACTCGGTAACTTAACCATCATTTTTATATTGACTTTTCAAACAGAATATGCAAAAACACCCAGTTCAATGTCTGAGCAACAACAGACATTCCCACCCCCCACCTTGAACCCCTTTTTTGGTTAAAAAAAATCAAGAAAACTTGAACATAGAGGAGAAAAAAATTAAATATTACTCTCACGTTCCTGTGGAAAACAGAACACTGCCCACTGAGAATAGCAGTCAAGTAAATGCCAAAGGGCAATATATGCAAAAAGCCTGCAGCCTGCTAAGGTTGAGTGTAAACTGTCCAAACAGGCCATGTGGAGTCAGGACTCCAGTTGCCTTGGGATTGTAGATTCCATGGACATCATTCAATCTCACTTGTTCAGTAGCTGCTTAAGGCCGCCTACTTGAGTCAAGATGCAGAGTGATGACTCTTTTACTCCCCAAGGATCCTCTTCTAGGCACATATGTATAAGCTTGGCAGACATTGTTACCATTAACTCAAAAATGGCACAGTGCTAGCCAAGATCTGTTTGTTAAAGGGCTCAGTATGATGTTTAAATGTAAAATCAATCATCATGTAAATAATATAACATATAGATAAGTATAGCTAATATATACTATTTAAAATATATAAGATATATACATTACTAAAGTAAAAGCCCAATTTAAAAAGATGTTTATCATTTTACCAATAATTAATACTCATCAGTTTTTGATCAGTTGATGTGGCTGTCAGCCAAATATTATCAGAATATTTTTATTTGTTTCATTGTCTACTAAAATGTATTGAATCAGTAATGTTTGCTCTGTTCTTAAGAAAGCAAATATTGTAATTCATGATTAGTAAATTTGTTTCTTTTTTCAGAATTCAGTATTCATTATTTTTACTTTAATGTGAGTATATGTGAGTATATGTGAGAATATGACACATATGAGCAGATACCTACAGAAGTCAGAAGAAGGTGTTAGACCATCTGGAGCTAGAAGTCCAGGTTACTGTGAGCTAAATCGCGTAGGTGCTAGGCCCTGAACTGCGGTGCTCTGGAGGAACCAACACTACCCACTGAACCACCTCTCTAGCTTCTGAGTTTTCCGATCTTTCTAAACTTGGGGCAAATAATATAAGCTCCTTTATATATTGGAAGAAAGAATGCTCCTAAGGCTCAAGGTGATTTACTGACCCAATAAACATTACAGTCAGGAGTATAATGGGGGTTAGGAGAAGGCATTTGTGCTTCATTTATGTAATTAAATGATGACCAATGTAATATTCTCATTCAGACTTACAACAAAGATATGTTTATGATGGCCATATATTGTTTTAGTTTTCTGTCTCTGTATTATCAGGTCATGAAAAAATGAGGCTGCTTAAAGCAGCATGAGATTGTATGTCAGCTTCTAATCCTTGGAACCCCAGGAATAGTATAGTCCTCCTACTTACTGAGGATTGGCACAAACAGAAAGGACAGGGTCACTATAGATTACCACCTGAGAAACCAGTTTGGGAAGACCCAATGGCAAGATCATTTGTTATTAGCAGAAATCACTTCTTTGTGACTGTGGCTGAAGATACTGTTGTTTATCTGTCCATTAACTGGAAGTTACTGTCATAACTCAAAAGCCATCTACAAGACACTGGAAGGAATGTTAATTATTTGCAATGGACTCACTGTACATAGTTTCTCACTTTATTAAACCGGTAAAGAGAATTATTCTACTTCTGCCTGGCAAAATGTGTATTGTATGGTGTGTGTGTGTGTGTGTGTGTGTGTGTGTGTGTGTGTGTGTGTACGCGTGCGCGCACACGCACGCACGTGCATGTGTCTGTCTGTCTGCCTGTCAATCAGTCTGCCATAATAATGGCCATGTCATTTGTAGAAACAAAATTATTGGTGTTCATCTTATATTTTGCTTACTAAGTATATCAAGTAAATCCAGTAAAATACATTTTTACTGTTCACTAGTGTTCACTTTATTTGGACAGTTTTGTGCTGCTATACCGTGACATGGGTTGGCATGCTTTATGCTACAGTTTCAATTGAAAACATGTATGTGTGTGCTGAAATCCTAACACTTGGTGGCAGTAGTAGTTCATCCAAAACTCAGTAAGCATCAGTCTTCATTGAGAATAAACAGAGACACAAATGTCTCATTTAAAAAATATATACATTATAACTTACAACAGAATTGTTTCCTTCTTCCCCTTTTCTCCCTCAAGTCCTATCCATGTACACCCTCTCTAACCCCTTATGACACCCCCACTCTCCAACCAGTAGCTCTTTGCTTATTATTGCCACACACACATGCACACTCAAACACACAATATTAGTTTGTGTGTGTGTGTGTGTGTGTGTGTGTGTGTGTGTGTGTGTGTGTGTGTGTGTGCAGTTTCATGGCTAAGACCATATATTATTGTATTGGGTCAGCAATAAGAGATCTCATTCCTGGGACAGGCTAATTCTCCCCCTCCCAGCAGTCATTAGTTGTCTGTAGTTCTCTGTCTAAGAGTGGGACCTTGTCACATAATTCCTCCTTTTCACATTAGCATGTCTACTAATACTGACATTGTTCTGGTCTTCTTTGCAGAGCCATTTCACAGCAGGCTTCCTGGTATTCTGGCTCTTAAATTCTCTGTGTTCCTTCTTCTGTGATATTGGCAGGACCATAAATGCGGGAGCTGTGATATAGATATATCCATTGGGGTTTGACTCCCCATTATCTGTTCATCTCTGCATAGTGTGAAGTTGTAGTTTTCTCAGATGATCTCTATTTGCTGCAAAGAGAAGTTTCTTTGATGAAGGTTGGTAGCTATGCTTATCTATGGGTATAAGGTTTGGTATGTAGTAAGGAATTATCCCAGTCTAGCAGAGTGATGACAGTAGCTTCTCTTTTAGGGTCCCTGTATTAGTTAGGATTACTGTTGCCATGATGAAACACCATGAGCAAAGGCAAGTAGGAAGTGAAAGCGTTAATTTGAATTAAACTTCCACACCTTAGTACACCATTGAAGGAAGTTAGGACAGGAACTCAAACAGGTCAGGAACTCACTTGGAGTCAGAAGCTGAGCCAGAGGCCATGGAGGAGTGCCACTTACTGGCTTGCTCTCATGGTTTGCTCAGTTTGAAGAATCCAGGACTACTAGCCCAACGACGGCACCACACACAATGGGCTAGGCCCTTCTGCATCAACCACTAATTAAGAAAATGCCTTACAGGCTTGATTACAGCCCAATCTTAAGGAGACATTTTCTTAATTCAGGTTCCCTTCTCTCTGATGACTCTAGCTTATGTCGAGTTGACATCAAACTAGCCAGGACAATAGACCCCTTTGTCAACTAGGCTCAGGGATACATTACTGTTAAGCTACAAACATTCCTTTCTTGTTCATTTCCAAGATCACAAATTAATATCAGCATTACATGCTAAACATTCCAAATTTTAAACATCCTATGGTCTTTAAAAGTTCAAACACTTACAAATTCAGTCTTAAAAATATCCAGTCTCTTTTAAAAATTAAAAGACTTTAAAATTGTCTCTCAACTGTGGTCTCCTTCCAAAATTAAAAATTATTTAAATACTTTGATACTTTAAGAGGGGAGAAGAAAGGTACAGTAACAATCTGAACAAAGCAAAACCTCAGCAAAGGCTTAGGAATGGCTGAAGAAGAGGGGCCAGGAATAATGTAAGAGCATGAAGAAAGGCAGGAATGACTACAAGGAAATAGTATCTTCTGTACAAAGGAGGGTTGTTGCACATGTGAACTCACAGTGTTTTCAGCAGCTTGTTCAAAACCTGTGCAAACTCATGCTAAATCCCAGAATGAGGAGAGGAGTCGAGTCGGGCAAACATTGTACCCCAAGCTGTTGGCAGTTATTAGCTGTGGGGAGAGGGACAGGCAGACTGTATTCTTTAAGAGTGTAAACTCCTATTCTTCTCTCCCCTCCCCCTTCCCTTTGTGGCCCCTCCACCCCCTGTTTATGAAGGAGATTTCATTTATTTCCCCTTCCCAGGGCAATCCATGTGTCCCTCTCAGGAGGGATGATCTTGGTCCTGTCTCAACTGAATGTCCCAGGCTTTGTTGACTCTCCACAAGAAGCCTTACCTTTTCGGAAGAGTGGATGGGGGATGGGTTAGGGGAGGTGTGGGGCAGGGAGTGGAGGGGAAAAC